CCTACATAGCCAGAAGCAGACAAAGCCCAACCTCCCTTGAATTCTTATTTAACTCCAAGCGGGTGCTAACCTTTAGTTGAGAAGATTCCTAGGCTTAAGCTGTTTAGCAACAATTTGGTCTATGTGTGGACCTGCTCTTTCACCCGTGACATTGTGAGATGACTAGTGGGAGCTCCTTGTTCACTCACTTCCGTATTTGTAGGTTGGCCATACTGTTCCCTGGATGTGTCACTTCCCTTCACTTTGGTGGATCTCCAAATCACTTGTCCTCCACAAGCCACGTCTGTTTTCTCAGTGCCAAGGATGTGGCTAGACATATCCCCCCTTTCCCAGTGGTATCTTTGGGCTGGAAACCAAGCTTCTCAAGACTTCAGTTCTGTGTTGCAATCCTTCCCAGATGGTTTTTCGAGAAAGAGAGGGCTGCCAACCATGTGCTTGAGCAGAGAGCATGAACTTTTCAGGTTGAGATGAAATGATAGGGCACAAACACGATGGCGAAGCCCTGCCAGTTCACTGGCTGGGTGATGAACAACAATTATGTCTCCATTAACTAATAATCTAGCTGAAAGGGACATCCTCATTTGCTTCCCTTCTTCCTTAGATTTTACACAATGCCTGTTAGAATTGGAACATTTTTCTGTGTGGCGCACGTTTTGTCCGATTCCCTTGGGATGGATTGTGGTTTTATTTTTCTAGGCCATTCGTGGAGAATGAAGAAAGGATCATCCAAAACACTCAGAATGAGGCCTGTCTTCAAACGGAAACACGACGTTCTTACTGGCTTGTAGGACACCCAGCGATGAACTGCCAGAGAATTTATTTTCCTGGGCCAAAACATTTGCAGTTTCTGGAAAAAAGAAAGCAGCTTTGCCCTGTAAACCTCAGCTGCCCTTGCTCTATCAAATACCTAACGAGGGTCAGTGCTTATAAATGAAAAGCAATAATAATGATGATTAAAGAAAATCACCTGTAGGACTGAAATGACTGCATTCTGTAGGCATTGGATTATTGGAAAACTTCCGTTTGACCAGAGGTGACTTTGAAATAAGAAGAGTAAGAAAGACAAGGATCTGGGATGGTGAATCTGTATAGATGTGTTACAGGCGCAGATAGAAGGAAGAGGGATGACCACTTTATAGATACCCACTCTTAACATGGCCATAGAGGCAAGGAAACAGAGAAAAAGCATCCCAAGTCACAGCTATGATACTTTAATGGGGATGAATCAGGCTCTCTCAGATGGAGAATTACAATTAGCCTTGAGTCAAAGCTCAGAGTCCCCAGCGTGATTTGGCTCAGAGAAGTGTCATCTAGTCTGTCTTCCAACTTTCCAGATCAAAGGATAGACAGAATAACAGAATAGCAGAGTTGGAAGGGATCTCAAAAGCTAATTCATCCCTCTTGTCCAAGCATTTCAGACAAATGGTTGTCCAATCTCGTCTTAAAAGCCTCCAGTGTTGGAGCACTCACAACTTCTGAAGGCAAATGGTTCCACTGGTTATTTGTTCTCAGAGTCAGGAAATTTCTCCTTAGTTCTAAGTTGGTCTTGCCCTTGATTCATTTCATCCATCGCTGCTTGTCCTGTCTTCATCTGCTTTGGAAAATGGTTTGACCCCCTCCTCTTTGTAGATGACCCTCTTCTTTGTGACAACCCCTTAGAAGCTCTAGACCTTAAACACTTTTGCTAGCAAAAGAGCCCCTCTGAACATGAGGAATCAAATGAGTCAACAACCCTTGGGTAAGTCCTGTATCTTTCAGAGCCAGCCTGCTTGCTGAAGGCTAATCCAGATGTGCAACCGATTGCACAACAGCCTAGGCCTGTTCTTGCAGGGGCCAAGTGTGGTAGGAACACCAGGACCAAGATAGCTTCCTGTCCCAGCAAGGGATCCTAACCACATGGTCTCACGTGGAGAGAAGAAGGGAGGAAACCTCAAGAGTTGACTGTTGTGATGGGGGATGGAGAAAGACATCTTGAATCATCTCTGATTTGGGAACAAAGGGGTTTTTTTTTAAATCCCAGGGATGGGCCTGACAGCAGGAGCAGTAATATAGTACACAGTCACATCAAAAACATTGTTTGAATTTTGGTCGGTTTTGTAAGAATGCCTTTGTCCATTATTTTCTGGAATTGGAACTACACCTGTGTTACCCTTGATTGAACGACTTACTGAAGAAGAGTCTCTTAAGAACTGTGGCAAATACAGTGCCAGATTAAGTCCCGCCCTTCCTTGTGGGCATTAGCATATTGAATAAGCTGGTGAAGGCTTGTGGGCTTAGATTGAATAGAATAGAGCTGGAAGGGACCTTGGAGGTCTTCTAGTCCAGCCCTCTGCTCAAGCAGGAGAACCTACACCATCTCAGACAAGTGACTGTCCAGTCTCTTCTTAAAAACCTCCAGTGATGGAGCGCCCACGATTTCTGGAGGCAAGTTGTTCCACTAGTTGATTGTCCTCACTGTCAGGAAGTTTCTTCTTAATTCCAGAGTGCTTTGGAGAATAACGTGACCCCCTCTGCCTTGTGGCAGCCCCTCAGATACTGGAACGCTGCTATCATGTCTCCCCTATTTCTTATTTTCTTTAGATTAGCCAAACCCAAGTCCCGCAGCCATTCTTCGTATGTTTTAGTCTCCAGGCCTTGGATCATCCTAGTTGCTCTTCTCCGAACTTTTTCCAAACTCTCAACCTCTTTTTTGTGATATGGTGACCAAAATTAGCTAGATGGGTCTTTACCCACCAACGGTGCCATGCAGAATGGAGACCACAGCAGTCCTACTGGAGAGCAAGACTCTGACTGGTTCTCTTCTTATTTCTTCAATCCTAGTTGGCAGGCCGCCATCTTACGTCATGTCAAATGAGGATGGCTCCCTCGAGTCTGGTGCCAACTCTCTCTTTTGACCTACAAAGCAGGAGCACATTGCCTTCCCGCAGATGTTGGCAGAGCCAGATGGCTCTGCTCGTAAGAAGTAGCTCATATAGCACTTTTCAAGACAATCCCAAGTGGAATGATGGGAAGTCTGAATGAAGAAAAAGCCCCAAACTGGGGAATCACGAGTACAATCTGAGGCTACATCCAGGAAATTGCATCTACAAATTTATTAGATGTTTACCCTGCCTTTATTACTTTATAATTAACTCAAGGTAGCAAAGACTCATAATACTCCTTCCTCCTCCTCCTTTTCCCCACAACAACCACCCTGTGGGGTGGGGTGGACTGAGAAAGAGTGGCCTAAAGTCACCTAGTCAGCTTTCATGCCTAAAGTGCAACTAAAACTCACAAGCTCCTGGTGATTGAGCTAAAGTCACCCAGTTGTCTTTCATGCCTAAGGCAGGACCAGAACTCACGATCTCCTTGTGATTGGGCCAAAGTCACCCAGTCAGCTTTCATGTCTAAAGTGGGACTAGAACTCACGGTCTCCTAGTTTCTATACCAGGGGTCGGCAACCTTGGCTCTTATATGACTCCTGGACTCCAACTCCCAGAATTCCTGAGCCAGCCATGCTGAGGGGAAAGGGACAGTTTCCAAGCTGAGCCATGCTGGCTCAGGAATTCTGGGAGTTGAAGTCCACAAGTCATAAAAGAGCCAAGGTTGCCTACCCCTGTTCTATACCAAATTGGTCATTATTTAATTCCAGGCTCTTTGTGTTCTGGGATGTTAGTTAAGCCCATAGTTGTGGCTTGTATTGTGAGTCTTGTTGTGGTGTCTCAGTTATTGCATTTTGATGATTTTTGCTCTGTATTTTGTTGAATATATCCATTTGTTTATCTGTATTTGTAGTTAGCTATCCCCAGTAATATACATCAAATAAGCAGCCGCATTAGTTCTCTAAATAAATAAACAAGCGTAATTTTGATTTAATAGTTCAGTGTCGAGACCGCCTGACTCCACCACAACTCTAGGCAGCTTACAATTAAAAAATAATTAAAAAGAAAACAGATATATCAGAGAAAAGGGAAGACAAACTACAAAGCGCGCAGCAATTATTTTATGCTGATGGAGGAATCTACGCAAAGTAAAAAAAAATGGATCTCATTTTTTTTGGTCTTTTGATTCTAAACTTAGGTACATAATTTGCACCTTGATTGCACTAGAAAGAAAGAGATACACACAGAGAAAGACACACATGGATTAAAGCTCCTCTATGCCAAGCTATGCCTAACGCTTCGTAGGAGGCTGCACACAACCCAGGGAACCAGCTCCAAGCCCCATTCATGGTAGACCAATGTGCATGTTAGCTTCTATGGTTTTCGTAGTACTCAATATTGGCTTACTTAGGCTGCCCTGAATAGAAGGAAGGCAGTTTCTTGGCCGTTGAAATTATGGCCACCAGTGTCCCTTAAGAACAAGTTAAAAATAACCCTGAGCATTGCAAAAAACAGATGCAAATAGATCAGCTTACTCAAAAAAAAACCTTAAATAGTCACTAATATTAGGTGAGAAGAAAAAAGGAAACATAGCAACGTTTGTAAGACTAATGCTCAATTCATTGTACTTTCTGAAATGGGTACAGCTTCCTTAATTGAAGAAAATCTTACTGAATCTCAGTTCTTGCATTTTCAAGCAAGATTATCTGTTTTCTAACCTTGGCTACTTTAAGATAGGTGGAGTCCAGCTTCCAGAATTCCCCAGCCAGCATATATGGACTTCAACTCCCAGAATTCCCCAATCAGCAAGTATAGACGTTAACTCCCAGAGTTCCCCAGTCAGCAAGTATAGACGTTAACTCCCAGAGTTCCCTAGCCACCACATGTAGAGTTCAACTCCCAGAATTCCCCAGTCAGCACGTTTAAACATTAACTCCCAGAATTCCCTAACCATTATGCTGGGGAATTCTAGGAGTTGAAGTCCACCAATCCTAAAAGTGTCGAAGGTTGAAAAAAATATTGCTCTAAGGGATTCCAATTCTGCTTGAGTGGGTTATGCCTGTCCGAGCCACCGTCCAACTCATCCCGCTTGACCTCTCTGCTGATCCTCAAAACGGGTTGACCCCATGCGGTCCTTACCTCGGCAGGCTTTGCGATCGCTGATAGCTTTGCTCACGTCGCGGTAAAAACCCTCTTTGCAGTAATGGCAGTGCCGCCCAGCCGTATTGTGCCGACAGTTGAGGCAGACGCCACCGCTCTTCCGCCCGGACAGCTTGTAGAGCTCCATGTTGAAACGGCAACGCCGGGCATGGAGGTTGCAGTTACAGGCTGCAAGGAAGAGATGGGACAGATGAGAAGGGATGAACATTTCTCGGCCCCTAGCCAACGGCTGGCTGTAAGCATCCAAGTGAGTAGGAAGTCTTCATTGAGCGAGAGGGGCTTTCAGTTTGGTGGGCTTGACCTGTAACCTTGGCTAGTCCAGTGGTTTGAAAGAGATCGGCCAGATCCGTTATCCAAGTAACAAGAGGTAAAGCATGACTTAGGTATAAAACAAGAAGGTCTGCACAAAAAGACTTAGGCAGACACTTCCCTAATTTACATGAATCTAAGAGGGGGGTAGGTGGGTTGTAGGGAGGGGATGCAAGTCAAGCATAGTCACACTTGCAAAGGTTTTGTTTACTTTGAGGTCCAGCCCAAGAATGATGTATATTCTAAGTGTTTTCCAACCTTGGCTACTTTAGGACAGGTGGATTCCAGCTCCCAGAATTTCCCAAACCAGGACAAATGGTTGGGAATTCTCTAGGCAGCATGTGTGGACTTTAGCTCCCAGAATTCCCCATCCAGCACGTATGGATTTCAATTCCCAGAATTCCCTAGCCAGCAGGCTGGAGAATTCTGGAAGTTGAAGCCCACTGATTCCAAAGTGGCCAAGGTTGAAAAAACACAGATCTAAGTGATTTTGGCTAGAACAATCCAGTTCAGTTATTTATTTGCTTACGTCCAATAGACAGAATCTTGCCAGATTAAACCTCTACTACGCTCACCCTAACAAATATATGTGGGAAGATTCTAGAGAGTGGCTATCCTAACTCTCTTCTGCTGCCTCCAATCCAGATTCTGGCTGTATGGTCTCTTGGCTCATCCCCATCCTTGGAATATGCTCCATCCTTCCTCGGAAAGGGCCATTTGCATCACCCCCACTCCCCCTCTGTAGGCACTATCCCTCATATCTGGCTAGCATCAATAAAGGTAGTTTTAGCCTTTGTGTGGAATTGATTTCTTGGTTTCTTCTAGCTTATAGCATTGTGCCCGCCATCTGGCGTCTTTTGACCCCCCTTTAAAGCAAGCAATTCAAAACTGCAAGAAACCATGGATTGATCCATAAAATTAATTTGAAACATTCAGTATTTAGCTGTGCCAGTGTCAGGTTGTGATGCCCAAACACAGCCTGCCCGTTAAAACAAATCTCAGCGCTTCTTGCATTGATTAAAACGATCTCATCCTTTCCTTTCTCACTAAACGCAGCAGAATGAAAAGAAATTAACTCAGTTTGAGGACCATCCAAGCTCTCCCTGCTTTGAGTTTCAAACCTTCATGCCAGAGCTCCAACAGCAGGGTTTTTGGGGTGGTCAACACGCTCTTAAATGTTCGTGGATGTCCTCATGGAATGGCACCGGTTCAGATTCTCAAACTCAGCCTGTGGCTTGTTCAAATAGTTCAGCACACGCAAAAAGGCTGATTTTGGAGCCCCTGGCGTGAAGGCTTGAGTTAAGGAGTTAGAAGAACGGTTTTCCATCCGCAGGAATCCTTGATTCGCACCCAGATGGCAAGTTCCATCTAAAGCTGCTGGTCCAGAGTCCATCGAAAGACCACTGTCTTGGCCTGGGCTGGGGGACCCTTTCTTATTTCCTGCCAGAGCTGTCATGGAAAAGGAACTGTATCATCTCCAGCCAAGTTGCAAAGCTGAAAAAGGAGCCAGTAGGCAGCGGAGAGACCTGCTAAAGTGATTTTGCTCTTTGCACCTCCATGCTTCCTTCTTTGGGTTAACCCCCAGAATGAATGGGGGGGGGAGATAGGGAGCCATAAATCCAGCTACAGACCCTTCAGAAGGGGATCACTACCAGCTCCTCTTTGAACACACATCCGAAAAGATGATGGAAAGGAGACGTTTTCCAACAGCAAATGATGGTTTGCTTTACCCTCCTTCCACTCAGGTCTGGTCAGATCCAGGCCAGAGGGAGAAAATCTCCAGGCACGGTGTGTAATTCATTAAAGTGTCAGCCCAGGATTTAACCGTTGACTCAGCTTACCGCTTACATGAAATGTTATTTAGTGTTAATATTTATTTGCATCCCGCCTTTATTGCGGTACTTTTACTATTAACTCAAGGGGGCAAAGGTATCCAACAGAACTTCCCTCTCCTATTTCCCCCATAACAACGACCCTGGTGGGCTGGGTTAAGAGACAAGGACTGACCCAAAGTCACCTAGTCCAGAGGCCCACAATGTTTTGGGCACCAGGGACCAATTCTGCGGAGAAAGAGTTTTCCGCGGATCGGAGGGGGCGTGGTTTCGTAGGCTGCCTGCATCCTTCAGATGCAGTTTTGCTTATTTGCACGGTCTGGATGCTGGCATATTGTGGCCCAGTGCTGGTCCATGGACCAGGGGTTGAGACCCCTGACCTAGTCAGTTTTCATAGCTTAAGTGGGACTAGAACTCACCGGCTCCTGGTGATTGGCCCAAAGTCACCCAGCCAGCTTTCATGGCTAAGTTGGAACTAGAACTCACCGTCTCCCGCTCTCTAACCCGATGCCTTCACCACGAGACCAAACTGGCTCTCCTTACGAAGCCATGTTTGCACTGGGGAACGGCCTTAGCTGGGGAGTGGGCTTGGAGAATGGGTCCCACCAACTCCAGAAGTGGAATTCAGTTGCAGGCAGTTGGGGGGAAAAAAATCTAGCCGGCAGTCAACCAACGTGTTAGGCTTGGCAAGATCCTCTCGTTCTCTTCCTTAACAAGACTATGCTTGAATCTCGGCGGCTCAGCGTGCCGTTTGCACATGCTTCGTATTCCCTCCCAAGTTGCGGAGAGGAAGAGCAGCTAAAAACCTGTCTCTCAGCCGCCCGTCAGTTTTGCTACAGCTCAATCTTTCTCTCTCTCTCTCAAAGTAATCACTAATTACAGGCCTGAATGGTCCCTGCTGTTTGAGGGTATTAATGAGAATTTAATTGCATGCTATTGGGCTAATTATATAGCAGTCTGCTTCCTTCCTCGTATAAATCCAGCCAGTTCCCCCACTCTTCTGTTTTCTTTTCTTTTCTTTTTTAACTCACACAACTAATTAACCAATCAAGGTTCAAATAATTGGTAAATAATGGGGCAATTATGACCCAGGGCTGGCGTTCTTATTCCTTTGCACAAGGCTACTAAATTTCTCTGATGGAGCTGAGACTGTCAATTTTCTCCAGCACCGCCGGCGTCTGTGAACTGGCTAGGAACGATTAGCCGGTGGGAGATTCTTCCTGAAGTTTTAAGAGTGCCAAACCCACAAATCCAGTGGAGCTGTGCTCTGTACTGCCACTGGTGGAAAAGGGCCTGCTGTCTACATACCCTGACATCTGCAGTGGTTCCTTTCGCCAAACAGGAGGAACCTGGTCTCGAAAAAAGCAGCTGCCACGCCCTCCACCATCCAACTATATTCATAAAGTGCTTGCGGAATGCCAGGCAATGTTTATTTTGGCTAGGAGGACCTGGCTGGGTTGCCCTCAACGGAGAAGAAGTCGTGTAATAAATGCCCATCTCAGTGGTTCAGAAAGAAATAGATGCTCAGCCTCCGGAGGCAGGTCGTTCCACTGATTAATTGTTCTTATTTTTGCAGCTTGTTTCATTTTTTTGCAGCAAAAATGCGCGGAGTTTTGATGGAGCACATCCACTTTTTCCAGCACATGGAACGTCTCTCCTCTCTGCATTATGCGTGTTGCACCGCCAAAGCATTAATATCTCCATGGAAAGGAGAACTTCACTGAGAGCCTTAGCAACAACCACACACGCGCACACACGCGCACACACACACACACAGACACACACACACTCAATGTGGGGGGAGGAGGGTTTTATGCAGATTCATCGTGATTGCTTTCCGTTGATGGGGTTTCCATCAGAATACCAATAGACCTGCCAAACAAAGGGGGATCTCAAAAAAAGCACAAAGGAGGATCCCGTCCCTCTGACCCTTAACCTTTAACCTTTCATTTGTCTGAGATTACCCCCATGCAATCCAACAGCCCCTGTTGATAAGGGAGGGGTGACCTGTTTTTCCTAGAAGCACCGAGGCTGAAAACACCAGCCTGAAGATGACGAATGAGACTTCGTCGAAACGTCACCAAGACACTTCCAATTTGACGCGGGAGAAAACCCGAATAACCAAAGACCTACATATATATATATATATATATATATATATATATATATATATATATATATATATATAGAGAGAGAGAGAGAGAGAGAGAGAGAGAGAGAGAGAGAGAGACCGACAGACAGACAGACAGAGACAGACAGAGAGACAGACAGAGAGAGAGAGACTTTTAGAAGGCTTCTTGGTCTTCACATGATAAAACCTGGGGATGGGGGTTATCTTTGGATTTTAGCATCTATTCCTCTCTTTTCACATCCAGCTTTTCTGATCTAACTACAGCCCTTCGAGACAATGGCTGCTGCTGATATAGCAGGATTCTTCCTGTCTTACCCCAAAGTCAGGCAAAACAATTTGCACATGATGTCCGTAAGCATCTGTATTTGATACCCCTGTAGAAGCAGTTGCTACCCTTTCGATCGGTGGAGGCATTTGGTTGACCTTGTATGAACTTAGAAGCCAGCAAGGTCAGTCTGGATTTGGAGTTGGATAGAAGATTATCAAAAAGATGATTTTTGGGGGGGACCCCCTTCCTCTCCAGATATCCCTTTCCAACTCTATGTCTCTCTGAAAATCTCCCAGCTGCCCCTGCGTGTTAGTCTTTCTCTCAGGGCTATTTATTTATACAACGCACGTCATCTTACAAACAGGCCCTTTGCATGAATACACAAAAGAGAGAACGGACCCTTACATTTTAAAAAGGGACAACGCACTGACATTAATTAATTATCGGGTTAGCATCAATGCCTAAATTCTCAGCGAGGTCTTCAAATGTCTTACAGCATTCAAAGACTTCGTGGTTAAGCCTACTCCATACTTCAGAAAGTTGGGGGAATGGGTGAGGATATGGAGAAGGAGCATCGCCAAGGGCTTGGATTCATATAATTTATTTGGGATCACCAGTGTTCCACCCC